CTGCTGGCTGCTGAGGCTGACAAACCCAAGATCAACAAGTGAAATGGCACAGCTCCAAGATTAGCTGACAACACAGCAGGCCACTAGTTCAAGTTTAGGAACAGTCCCAAAATCAGCAGGCAGTGTGGCAGGTTACTGAGATGAAGACTAGCCAAATGCAGGATCCAGATGTGCCAAAAGCTCGAGACTTTTCTCAAAGCTTCTCCTTATATTCTGGAATCAGGCCACACCTTGAAGCTAGCTACTTGGCTGTTCACAGCACATTCTATCATGCAGGTGATTATCAATCTCATCATGGGGAATAACTACAGTCAGTTGCCCAGCCACCCAAAACCACAGCTCAGCTAAACAGACACAAAACTTGAACTACACACATAGGAACAGTTAGTCCAAAGGACTAATGGACCATGAGAACCTCAGCCTATATGACCCTGAGTTCAGAAGTAGATAATGCCCAGCTACCAATGCCAACCACTCAGAAAGGGATCAAAATTAGAGACCCTGGATAGAGTGGGATGAAAAATGTGGAACAAAATTAAAAACATGAAAAAGACCAGCTTTACTGGTCTGATAGAGACAGTGAAACCTCCTAGACTACAGCCTGGAGTCACCCTCAGGGCCTGGAATTGAACTCACCTTCGTGGCTTAACTCTCCGCCAAACAAAAGAGAGGCCTACGACCTGAACACCTACCCCAGGGAGATGTACTCCTTAGAACAATCAACTATGGGAGATCAGAAGGGCAGCATTTGTACAGGGAGAAAGGTAGGGAGGCAGGAATGCACGTGCAAGAAGGACACAGGGAAAAGGGAAGGAACTACAGGCAGGAAGTGGGAGGAGAGCTGTTACACTGTAGGGAATGTAATCAGTGCCACGAAGCAAACTGTGTATGAACTGTTGAATGTGAAATGAATCTGCTTTGTAAAATGTCACCCAAATCACAATAAAAGGAAAAAAAGAAAAGAAAACCATATGATCACAATAGTCTGATCCACACCTGATCAAGGGAATGGCACAGGACCAGACAGAATTTCCTTCCTCTGGGCTTGGGGTCTCTATGCGCCAACCCAACAGCAACTACTCACAACATGCACCGGTCCTAGACTGTAGAGTCTCCGTGGCTATTAGCAGCACAGCCAGTTACTTCTACTTCCTGGCAATTTGAAAATAGACAATTCTACCTGACAATGTTTCCCCACCACTGGTGAGACCAATAGAAAATTTAAAAAGAAAATCGATGTGGCAGTAGCTACTGTGTGTGTTGGCAAAGGGAGAAAGACTGCCAGCATTGGGAAATGTTGCCTTAAGCAAAATTGAGCTGTTACATTTCACTGCAGGACTTCTTGGTACACTTTATGGGATTGTGAGCTTGGTCAATCCATTAGAAAGGGGCATGGAAGGCAGAGCTTGCCAGATTCCCCAGCATCTCCTGCAGCATCTCCCAAATTTGGTATTTCACCAAACACTATCTAGAAAATGCTATTATAGATACATTTTATTATTACACCTGAGCCCATTCCAAGCCACAGATATTTTGCTAATGCCTGCAGAGAGAAAAGAATCAGAAAGAAGCTTCCAATATCCTTAGCCTGGTGTATTAAAAGTAGCACAGCTGCTGTAACAGATAAACTCAAAATCACAGTGACTTCACACAATAATAGTTAATTTCTCCCAAGAAACAGTCCAATGCAAGTGGAATCACCCAGGGGGCTTCAAAAAATATCCTGCCTGGCCCCTCTCCCAGGGGTTCTAATTTAATTGTTCTTGGGTGGGATTGGGAGCTCTGGTGGCATAGTGCCTAAGGCATTTGACTGCTAAGCAGAAGGTTGGTGGTTCAAACCTACTGGCTGCTCCTCAGGAGGAAGATTGGGCAATTTACTTCCATAGAGATACCTTCTCAGAAACCCAAGGAGGGATCACTATGAGTTGGGATTGACTTCACAGCAGTGAGTTTGGTTTGGTTTGGTTTTGGGGTGCGATTGGCCATTGGGATTTTTTTTAAGCTCCCCCAGTATTCTTACATGCAGTAAGCTTTGAGAGCCACTGAATTAAAGGATTTTGAAGACTTCTTCAAGGAGGTCTGGTAGCACAATGGTTAAGCATTCAGCTGCTAACCAAAAAGTTGGCAGTTCAAGCCCACCAACCACTCCCCAGGAGAAAAATAAGACAATCTGCTTCCACAAAGATTACAGCCTTGTAACCCTATGGGGCAGTTCTACTCTCTCCTATAAGGTCCCTATGAGTCGGGATCAACTCAATGGCAGTGCATGGAAAGACTTCTTCATCAGGTTTCTTCCCATTCAGACCTCTGGGTTAACCTCTAGAGGCTCTGTCTGTGTTAGAAAGTTTCTTAGATTACTGGTCCATACAAACTAATGTTGTTTCCAAAGATAGAAGAGAAAGAGATACTCTGCAGGGGAAGGGGTTATTAAACCAAAACTTTGTTAGGTGCCATTGAGTGGTTCCCATTCATAGCAACCCTGTGTACAACAGAACCAAAGGCTGCCAGTCTTGCACCATCCTCACAGACTTTGCCATGTTCAATACCATTGTTGCAGCCACTGTGTCAGTCCATCTTGCTGGGGGTCTTCCTCTTTTTCTCTGACTCTCTACTTTACTAAGCACAATGTCCTGCTCCACAGACTTGTTCCTCCTGATAACATGACCAAAATACATGAGACCATCCTCATTTCCAAGGAGCACTGTGGCTGTACTTCTTCCAAAACAAGTTGTCCAGTCTACTGGCAGTCCGTGGTATATTCAATAGTCTCTGCCAGCAAAAGAATTCAAATGCACCAGTTCTTCTTTGGTCTCCGTTATTCACTGCCCAGCTCTTGCATGCATATGAGGTGATTGAAAATTCCACACCTTGGGCCACATGCACCTTAGTCCTCAAAGTGACATCTTTGCTTTTTAACCTAAATTAGTTATCTTTAATTCTGTGTGTCTCCCAGTTAACTCAGTGTCATGAGATCTGCTCGTTTATACCTGTCCTGTCATAATCCCAGATCTTATCCTTGCTGGTGATGAACTTGACACTTTTCCATCATGTCCATAAGGCAGGAACACCACCTGCTGTCTATTTATTCATTAAGTACTGATTGTCATAGGCAGTACAGAGTAGTAGTTAGAAGTACTAGCTCTAGAGCCACACAGTTTAAATATTGGCTCCATCACCTACCAACTGTGTGACCTTGGATAAATTACTAACCTCTCTGTCTCACTTTCTTCAACTGTAAAACGGGAATCAATTATCATAACTATTTCACTGGCTGGCAAGTAGAACATTTTCAAAAACTATTGGCTATTATCATGCACTAAACTCACTGCCATTGAGTCGGATTCAACTCATAGCAACCCCTCCTTGGGTTTCCGAGGTGGTATCACTATGGAAGTAGATTGCTCAACCTTCCTTCCAAGGAGTGGCTGGTGGGTTTGAACTGCCAGCCTTCTGGTTAGCAGTCAAATGCCTTAAGCACTATGCCACCAGAGCTTGTTTGTATTATTTTCTACCGCTAGAGGAATTAGTAATTCAGTGGCAGAAATTCTCACTTTCCATACAGGGACAAAGGAGCCCTGAAGGTACAGTGGTTAAAATGGTTGGCTGCTAATTGAAGGGTCGGTAGTTTGAACCCACCCAGTGGCTCCATGGGAGAAAGATGAGATAGTCTGTTTTCATAAAGATTGACAACCTTGGAAACTCTATGGCACAGTTCTACTCTGTCCTATAAGGTCACTATTTGTCAAAGTCAATGTGATGGCAGTGGATTGAAGTGGCAGATGTGAGCTCAGTTCCCAGACAATACACCTCACACGTCGCCACCACCCATCTGTGAGTAATGGCTTGCATGCTATGATGAAAAGGTTTCGAGAGAGCTTCCAGACTAAGGTAGACTAGAAAGAACAGCCTGATGATCTCCTTCCGGAAAGCAACCAATGAAAACCCTGTGGCTCACAATGGTCCAGTCCACAACTCATCAAGGGAATGGTGCGGGATGAGACAGTATTTTGTTTTGTTTGTTGTACACGAGGTCACCATGAGTTGGGCCAACCAATAACAGCTAACAACAGAAACAGTCTCTGTACTATGTGTGAGAGGTCCAGAGAAGACGAAGGCCATATCTCTGTCTTCAGGGAATTCACAATTTAGCATGGAAGACCAACATACAAACAGATGGACAGTAGTAGATGTGACTGAGTTTTCATGGCAGCAAGTGCAGTACTGGGAGGATATCCAGGAAGAGGGGAGGCATCAGGGAAGGAAGGCTTTCCTGAACAGGTGGTATGAGATCTTGGGCCTTAAAGATCCAATCAGACCAAAGGGCTCAGTCACCTGCTACTGAAGCGACATGGAAGAGAGAAAGAGTGAGCCTAAAACCCAACAGCTGTCATCAGCAAAGAAATATCCCTCAGTAGCAGAGGTTTACCAACTCCCTGGGTGAGACCACCACCCACTCTGAGGCAGGAACGCAGGCTTTTGTGGTATTCTCTCAGAGCCGATCATTGTGCCTGCTGGTAGGAACTCCCACAATTACAGACCGCCAGCAAGTGTGGCCCTTTGCATTTCGATGGAATGGCCTGGACGTTTTCTGTGGCTTGGTTGTGTACATGTTGGCAGAGCTGCAGGTCCAGGAGGATGCAGGACCAGAGGGGTGGAAAGAGCTGTAGAGAGGCAGACATCTGTTGTCGGAGTTTCACGGACACAAAAATCTCAGGTCTCAGCTCTGCCGCAGCCCTTTCAGGATATCCTGTCATTCACAGGATGCGTATATACATTGCCGAGTGACTGATTCCACCAAGACCCCTGGATTTGGCCATTCTTCCTGTCTACAGGGAGCTCTCACATATCTGCTGGTTCACTCCAGAAAAAGGAGAGGAACGGATTTAAGAGCAAACATTGCAATGAGAAAGAATTTATTGGGACTTAGTGAAACTACTTTAAAGTAGCTAAATAGTGCTGAAAGGTGCCTGGCCCAGTGAAGGAGCAAATAGTTCCTCACCATGCTACAACACTTAATAATTTTTTCTCTTGGATTGGTTGTCCAAAATTGCTGCTCCATGGCTGAAACTACAGGACAGGTAAGGTAATAGATTTTATTTATTTATTTATTTACTTACTTACTTACTTACTTATTTATTTATTATTTTAACTTATCAATTTTCGTGCTGTTCAAAAACTCTTTGCTTACTTATATAGTCATGAAGGAGCTCTGGTAGCACAGTGCCTAAGGCATTTGACTGCTAACCAGAAGGTTGGAGGTTCAAACACACAAGCTGCTTTGTGGAAGGAAGATAAGGCAATCTATTTCCATAAAGATTTACTGCCTTGGAAACCCAATGGGTGTTGCTATGATTTGGAATCAACTCAACAGCAGTGGGTTTGGTTTGGGTTTGGATGTGGTCATGGGTACTATATGGACTTCATAAAATAAAACAAATAATGACACACTATTTTTCTGAAGGTGTGACAACCCAGTTGGTTCTCTTCTTATGCTAAAACACCATTATTGGGACCTCTGGATTTCATGCTAACATCCCTCTCCCCATTATGGATCTTGGTGTTCTGTTTTGTGTTTGCTTTAATAGTCTCATCACTGTGAATATCTACCATCCCATATTCCCAA